CTCTACCATTTTATAAATGGTCAGAGCGAAGTGACTGCGAGAGCAATTATTGGCTTCATTTTTGGTATTCTGTTTTGTGTAACCATTGTTTTCGCAATCATCTCTACCTGTGCTCTTCGCAGAGAGTACTAGACCATGCAGTTGTGGCTACATATTAGTTGTCGACAATTACAAAGGCAATGAATAAACGTTGTCGATGTTGTGTGTTGTTTTCTACGTTTGGTCACACATCGGTCTTATACTTGGATTCATCCAATGCGGTTGGGCAGACGATATTGTTTGAATCGGGTCGGATTCCTTTTGCAGACGATTCATCTACAAAAAATACCAGGAATCATTGAACTTTTACAATCTGCTTTAATCAAGAACACTATAGTCTTTCCGATGTGAACCTATTTGCTTTATACAATGGCATGCGGAAAAAGGTCGATGTACAAGTCTTTGCTTCTCTGCAATGATTCTCGGTCAATTGGCCAGAGTTCATGAAAAGAGGTTTTCGATAAGGAGTGTAGCAGATGAGATTCCAGGTTCTCTGCTCAAAAGACCCATCCAGACCTTGTATGGCTTGCTAAGCAAATATGATGACACACTCTGTAAAGTATCTGTTCTCTTCAATTATCAGGCCCCGTAACCGGCACTGATAACTGTAACAAAATAAGATCATAGAAACATTTACGTTGAATTTCGTGGCCGACGGCATGCACGACGGGCTCACAGGATATGAACTGATATGAACAGGGCCCCGCTCATCCACTTTCATAATTAGGGACAACGCAGTGGAAGATTCGGCAGCATTGTGTGGCACGTCCAACAATTACGTTCCTGCTGCTCAAGGGATACATGTTTACAGGAGACACTTGAAAATGTTCGAAAAGCGTGGAGCTTTGTCACTGGCTTACCAAACGTTTTATAGAAGTGGAAGAGCATTTTCAGATGTGCAGGAGTGCCTGCATGTAATTGCTGTCAGTGGTTCAAACTTTTTTAACTATATATAACACGCTTGCGTCTGTCTACTTGTTTGTTTGTACGGAGGTTTGATATAAAAGGAGCACCTGCAGAAGTCGGGTCAAGCTGTGGACGGGTTGGGTATGGGGCAAGGCGAAAAGAGCGCACGTGAGAGCGTCAGCGGAGGCTCACTCACTCACATGCACAAGTCCGGCCGGCGTGATGGACAAAACTTCTTAACCAGGATTCATAAGAGCCCAGACGTCGAGGCAAAATTAACAAAGGTGAGGGTTGGGTGAGCAAGTGAAATGAAGGAGAATCACCGTTGACGGGTGGGGCGTTCTTGCAGTGGGCTGTACTTCACACATGAATCGACTCATTGCTTCGAGAAAGGCGCGAAAGCAAGAAAAAATTCATAGGAGGGAGTAAGGCGGTATACGTAATGAGCGTGCGTAAGGCTGCAGAAGTTTCAGGATGGGCCGGGAGTGCATTCAAGTGGAAGCTACTTCGCAGAAAAGTATAGAACTCTTCTCAAAAACGATCCAGAACACAGAGAAAAGTGGTGAGAGGTAATAGAAGAAATGTTATTAGATTCACGAAGAGGGAAGGTCTTGCGCTGAGGTGGGTGATAAAATCGAAAGCTCATAACATAGCTTAAAAACGATGTAAAATACAGGAAAAAGTTCTGCCTCTGTAGTGTTCGACAATACCTCCTTCAGTTGGATGCAGCTGCCATTATCGGGAAAAGTTTCAGGCAGGAACCGCGATGACTTAACATTTAAGTGCTCAGCTTATTCTAGTGCTCAGCTTATTCTAGGCTTCACCTGGAAGAATTTTTGGAGGAGGATTTCCAGACTTAGCTAAGCATACGCCCAGAAGACAATGATATTGGTGGAGGGTGCTACATTTTGTGTTGATGAGATTTGCTGGTCTCCTTATAACAAAAAATTACTATTCCCGAGTTCCTACACAATTTGGCTCACTTACTGATAACTGAAGTGATCCTTTTCTTCTTTTTCACTTTTACTTAGTTCTCATCTCATTGCAATATCTAATTTGAACATACATGACATATTTTCGAATTATTTTAATTGCTCGTAGGAGGCCTACCAAAACAGAAGTCTTGCACCATGAGAATACTTCAGCTCATTCACTTACAACATCAATAGATGTATATAGGGAATTACTATAAAATATTCTATCCCCTTCCACTTGTAACGAAATTGCTTTTAGAAGAGCGAAAGTCCCAAACACTTTTTCTGCTTATAAATCTGTATGTAAAATGCCATCAAAATGAAGGTGTTGCACTCTACGTTGCCCAAACGGAAGGATTCCCATTAGTCCGAACTACTTCCTTCTAAATGCTGTGCTTAATCAGTATAAAAAGCTCTCCCGTCACCTTATTTGTTCAACCTGCTTTGTTAACCATGCAGGCCCTACCTTTCGCTTTCCTTCTCTTCATATCGCTATCAATCGTGGAAACTAAAAGAAGTAAGTGCAGAATCATTGTTGTGAGCCTACACTTTTATCACGAAGTCTCCAAAGTGGAGAAGAACTCTTAAGAGAAACAAAACTGAAGGAAAAGCATAAATAGTGATTCTCTGATACCGTTTTTTATTGTACTTTTTTGAGGTTCTAGTGAAAAAGAAGATGAACAAGAAATTGTACCTATATGGTCTGGCGGAACGACCCCTGTTTACGAGGACAAGGGTACAATATTATTACATTTACTATTATTACAATAGCAGTAGCACACAGAATCATAATTCTGTGGCATGAAAAGAATTTCTACTGTANTTTTTCAAGGTTCCATCAAAGAAGATAATAATGGTCATGAAATTCGGCCTATGGAACCGGACAAGGACGACGGTATATATAATGGCAATAGCATACAAAAGAACAACTTCTGACATGGGAACGTTTTTTACTGTTTTTTTTTCTAGAAAGTGAAAAAGAAAGATATGGCAATGAAATTCAGCCCATGAATCCCAATCTCAGCGGAACTACTCCTGGATACACGGGAAACAGTAAATACAGTGGCATTAACATTCAAACAACAATTTTTAATAGGGGTACGTTTTACTGTTTTTTTTCTAGAGTGTGAAAAAGAAAGAAATGGTAATGAAATTCGGCTTATGAATCCCAGCAGTACTACTCCTGGATACATGCGGAAAGGTATATACAAAATTAAAGCTCACGATAAGAAGATTTTCTAAAACTTCTCATTGCTCTTTTAGGTTCTACTCCTGGAATCATTATAAATGAAGTCTACCCTACGTGGCCTACAGTAAATACGCCTGGTTACATGGAGAAGGGTATTACAAAAGCAGGGCTCATGAAACAAAAACCCCTGGAACAGTTTTTATTATTTTTTTAGGTTCTACCCGGAAGAAGTGTGTTTATAAAACTACTACTACTACAACGTGGTCTACAATAACAACTCCTGGATACGACGAAAGCGGTACGTACTAGAGCAAAAGCCGAGAGAAATATTCTGGAAACTGCCCCTTGTTGTTGTTCAAGGTTCTACTCGAGGAAATGCTCCAGATGAAAAGCCGCCTACAAAGCCTCCAGCACGTACGCATGGAAACGAAGAAAAGGGTACTTACAGGAAATAGAAAAAAGTACATTAAAAAATTTAAGAAACTCTCTCTGATTGTTGTTCAGATTGCCTTCAAGGAAATAATGGATGGCCCGGATACGGAGGAAGAGGTGTACACAGAAGCAAGAGTCCATGAAGTAGTCTTGCGGACAATTCTTGATGCTTGTTCTAGGTTGTGCTAGAGGAAATAATACAGACGACAAACCGCCATCGAGGCCTTCAGTATCTCCCCCTAGATGGGCACGGTACAGAGGAAGAGGTGGATACAAAGGCAAGAGTCTATAAAAAATCTTGCAAACAGTTCTCTGTTAGATTTAGGTTATAGGAAAAAACAGGCCGCTCGGGGAGATTGTAGTGTCTATTACTGGATGGCCGGGATACGGAGGAAGAGGTATACACAAAAGCAAAAGTCGATGAAGCAATCTTGTAAAATGTTTTTGACGGTATAATAATTTTAGGTTCCGGTAGAGGAAATAATGCAGGATACAAACCGCCCACGGGGCCTTCAGTATCTTACTCAGTATGGCCAGGATACGGAGGAAGAGGTATATACAAAAGTAGAATGTGGTATTTGCGAACGCAAGAGTTCGCTAAACAGAAAATGTGTGGCGATAACTTTTCCATTCTTTTCAGGTCTTACTCATGGAAAGACGAGACTAGGACTAGGAGGCTTTCAAGGAAATCAACTCAGTCTGGGACGCTCACCCTCATTTCAACATCTTTCCTCGGCTATTAAACAATGAAGACGTTGCGATTCTATTCTATTCTTTTTATTTTTATTGTAACCGTGGTTCTCAGGAAAGTAACGATTTAGATGGCCTAATTCTGCGCAACCGCATCGTTATCAGACTCTTTAGTTGCCTGTTAACAAGAAAAAAACTCAGAAAATTGAGAAGATTAACAAATACAGAGATGGCATTGCATTTGAATAAATCTTTAGTCTGGCTATACAAATGCATCGTCTAGAGGAAGATTTCGGCTGATCTCTGAACTGAAGAAAATTCGAAAACAGCGAAAAATACTGTAATTACAACCAGAAAAAGTACATAGAATGAGACAGAATTCCCCGTCAATAAAGAACAGCCATAGGTTGCAAGAATCGTAAAATAAAACAAAATCGCACTAGAGTATCGGATTTGAAGAAGGCCTTTGATACCATCGTGACAGAAGCAGTAGTTGAAGACCTGAGCCACCAGGGTGTTTCTACTCAATATATAGGGATGCATCGTGAGCTCCACAACAAACAGGACCTCGCCATTCTATAGAGCAGTCATCATCAACGTGAAGAGAGTGGTTCGACAGAGCGATACCATTTCGCCGAATTCTCTCAGTGCTACTCTCAAGAACACCATGCGTCATATGGAAGCATGAAAGTGAAAGTTGTTGACCGCTCCGCTTTGCAGATGACATCGCGCTTATAATACCGAACATGGAGCAGATGGAACAAATGCTGGCCGAATTCGATAACGCCTGTGTAGAAATCGGATTACGGCTGACGCTAATAAAGACGATGTTCTGATGCTACATGTATCTAGGTCGGGAAGTCATTATGATGAACGACCTAGCTTCGGAGCTGAGCAGAAGGAAAGGCTCTGCGTGGGGAGCATTCAAGAATGTCGAGGTAGTAGCGAAGAAAAAAAGGAACATCCGGCTCCGCTCACCTTCTCGACATTGCTGCTCTTTCTGCTCTGCTTACGCCTCAGAGACTTAGACTTTACGGAAGCAGGATGAACATACATCAGCGAACATACACAACGCAACGCGCTTTGGAAAAAACGATGCTCGCAATTTCCCGATACACGCAAGTGCAGAAGGGAATCCGGAGTTACGAGCTCAGTCGTGGAACGAAGACCAGGGATGCCTTTGATTACGCCAAGAAATCGAAGACAAGTTGCGCCGGACACGTTATGACCAGTCTGGTCTCCCGAGTTACGCAGGGCCTCATTCCTTACTTTTATAAAGTGATTAAAAACATGTGGTTAATGGGTATCGCTTTTATCCAACACCGAGGGTTTGAATACAGAATGGGATGGGTGACTGACCTTATCCGTGCTTCGAGCGGGTTCTAAGCAAAAAATATAATTGTTTCTAAGCCTCAGTAGGGGAGAAGCGCCGGCGTGGAAGTATGATGATTAACTCGAGCCAAAAGCTAGGATGGGGTATACGTTGAATATTCAATTTACTCATCCACTCCGGTGCTCCTTCCTGTCTGAATCTCAGGTCAAAATACTGTATATTCTCAGCCAAGGAACGATCGTCAACACATTTATGAGCCGACTTCCTTATCTGCACTGTAGCGCACAATCTTGAAAAAAGTGAAGAAGCCAAGAAACGATCTTCAAAACATTTATGTACTCACCTCCTTATCTGTGCTGTAGCACGCAATCTTGAAAAAGCAAAGATCTCCCAACCATCACCTCTGATATCTGTATGGACGTACATAGCGCGATTCCAGTACAGATTGAAGTACCCACTTCACTACACGTTACTCACTTCACTCCGCAGTACTGACTCTACTCCGTTAGCTTACCCACCAAGTTACTGTTTATATGTAAGAATGAAATGTAGGGTAGAGATGGGTTTTCCATATCACTACCTTATCGTAATCATAAAGTTTTCCGAACGGACAGACAGATACACAAAGTCACTATTTTATAAACAAAAGAGATAGTGAAGCCGTTGGACAGGGTGGCTACTGACTGGATCCCTCGGGCGGTCGATCAAACGCGATGATCAGACTCCTTTACGAAAGCTCTGTATGAAAGGGATATTGGACCTCTTGCCCCTGAAGCGAGGGCTATTCACTGCACCACTCTAGCTGTGACAGGAACGAATGGAAACGTTACTGGCGTCCGCTCGAGGAAATCGACGATTAACGGAACGATAGGTGATATAGGTGATTCATTTAACGCGCTCCATCTGAAAAAAAAGTTTTGTTTCTATACTGTTTGACTATCGACTTGTTGTTCGACTCGTTCAGTTGAATGCAGATGCCTTTATCGGGAAAGGTTTCAAAAACCGCGATGACACCAACATTTGAGTGCTCAGCTGAGTCTAGTCGCATCCGGAAGAATTTTCAGAGGAGGTCTTCCCGTCTTCGCCCAGCATATGCCTAGAAGTCACTGATATTGGTGGAGGGTGCTACATTTTGCGTTGATGCGATTTGCTAATTTCTTAAAAGCACCATTTACGATAAATTTAGAGTACCCTCTTTTTGACGGGAATTTATAGAACTACTCTAGAATAAAGCGATAACAACGAAAAAAGCGCAAAANAAAACGATGAACAAAAACAAATAGAAAGGGTCAAAAAAGAGCTGAAAAGGGGGTTGGACGAGTTTCACATTGGAAGTACGGCGGTTAAGGGAATGTTCGGGCAAGTGCACAAAGGCGACGGGATGTCTGCAATAGCAGACAACACACCCAAGCAGACACATCGCTCCAATGCGAATGTGGTGAAGGACAATTAGAACTCGTTGTCAACCTAGCAGGGGCGGAGGCCTCCCGTCCCCCACTGTTCCTGCCCTTATTGTGCCCTATCCAGACCGTTTACCGACCTCATTCCTGCAAAAATGGTATCAGAGGAGGCGTCGAATTCAAACCATGTGCGAATCTCCAAAACCACTTTTTCGTGAACAGTGCCTTTAATACTTGAATAACTATCGTCCAAAAACGGCATTTTTGAATGAGCTAAACTAGTACGAAGTTTGCCTGTTATATTTCGGGATTGAGCAACTCTAGCGTTGCAATCTGGCAACTGATAGCTCTATCGTAAATTTTGACCCTTTTGAGGTTATTCTTACTCAGAACGTTTTGAAATACGAGCGCTACTTGTGCTGTTTACACTAACTTTAAAAATTTACTTAGGATTGAGACAACCTTAGGCATTGAAGGGACTAACATACATTCAATATTGCTTGAACATTTGACTGTAAAAAACATTTGTTTTTGAAAATTTTGTCAATCTCTCAGAAAAAAGGCTCGTGTCGATTGGTCGAAAGAAATGCTAAAAAAATCTCGCGGTGCTTCGAAACACGTCTATGGTATCGATACAGGTGCCATAGGCGAGATCATGGGTTTACACGTATGAGCCCAATAGTAAACAGCAGTCGACCGTATGGGTATTTCAAGATGAGCCAAATCCAAGAAAAGCTGTCCGCGCACCAAGCACATTCAAGCAAGGTCTCCTGTTTTTTGGAAAAACTGGACATGTCGCAACCGTACCACTAGAACAAGCAGAACAGTGAATTCTGAGTGGTATACAATCACTCGTTTGCCAGTTGTCTTCAAGAAGTCAGGAAAACCAACTGCCGAAGACGGAGNACTCATCAGCACCGACAATGCGAGCTCCCACACATCGGCTCAGACAACTGCATTTTTTACCAGTCAAAACAACGATTTGATGAGTCATCAGTCATATAGTCCTCGGGTGACTTCTCCTTATCCCGCACGCAAAAAATAAAATGAGAGGTCAACGTTTTTCGTCACTTGAAGAAGCCAACTGATGTTTTTAGAATGCATGGTTAGAGATACCTCAATCAGGGTGGCAAAAGTATTTCGAAAATTGGTTCTAGCGCATGCGAAAGTGTACAGATCTTAATGAGGAAAATTTTTGAATGCAGTAAAGCGATTTCCAATTATTAATATTTATTTTTGTTTTCTAACCCCGAAATATAAAAGGCAGCCTACGTAATATGGTAGCTGACACCGTCCACTGTCCTAAAAGCATATTCTAAATCATGGCTGAGGGGACATCACTACTCCCAAGTTCAGATGCAATGTAACTCACTCACTGGCACCTGAAAGTATCTTTTTTTTTCTCCTTTCACTTTTACTAAATTCCCATCTTATTGGAAAACTTAACTCGAAAAAGCAGTACATGTTCTTGGAATATTTGAATTGCTTGAAAAAGGCCTACCAAAACAGAAGTCTTGCACCATGAGAATACTTCAGCTCATTCAATTACAACATCAATAGATGTATATGGGGAATTACTATAAAATATTCTATCCCCTTCCACTTGTAACGAAATTGCTTTTAGAAGAGCGAAAGTCCCAAACACTTTTTCTGCTAATAAATCTGTATGTAAAATGCAATCAAAATGAAGGTGTTGCACTCTACGTTGCCCAAACAGAAGGATTTCCATTAGTCCGAACTACTTTCTTCTAAATGCTGTGCTTAATCAGTATAAAAAGCTCCCCCGCCACCTTATTTGTTCAAATTGCTTTGTTAACCATGCAGGCCCTACTCGCTTTCATTCTCTTCTTATCGCTATCAATCGTGGAAACTGAAAGAGGTAAGTGCAGATTCACTGTTGTGAGCCTACTCTTTTATCGCGAAGTCTCCAAAGTGAAGAAGAACTCTTAGGAGAAGCAAAACTGAAGGAAAAGCATAAATAGTGATTCCCTGGTACTGTTTTTTATTTTCTTTTTTGAGGTTCTAGTCAAAAAGAAGATGAACAAGAAATTGTACCTATATGGTCTGGCGGAACGACCCCTGTTTACGAGGACAAGGGTATATATTTACAATAGCAGTAGCACAGCACAATGGCAACAGTAGCATGAAAAATAACAATTTCTGACATGGGAACATTTTTTACTGTTTTTTTTTCTAGAATGTGAAGAAGAAAGAAATGGTAATGAATTTCGGTCTATGAATCCCAGCGGAACTACTCCTGGATACAAGGATGACGGTATATGTATACAATGGCATTGA